CTTATTGGCGCTCACATCACATTCCTGTCCGCTGCACTCGATAACCATGGAGAAACTCACATGGTCTCACTCGACAATTAATAGGCCTTCGACCGCGTTTGGCATGAAGGTCTGCTGTCGAAATTACTCACGTCCAGATTCCACCCGTCTCTGGTATCGTGGTTTCGTTGTTTCCTCAGCAAGCGAACCATCCCTGTCCGAGCAAACGGGGCCCTTTCTCGGCCGGTGTTTCCCAAGGTTGCATACTTTCGCCTACCCTCTTTCTCTTATTTATAAAAGATCTTTTATCCTAAACATCTAATCCTATCCACTGCTTTGCCGATGATGCCGCTCTCATTGTTCTCTTTCTTATCCCACAATGGGTCAAGCTAATACCAACATCGATCACGATCGTAATGTCATTAGTGCTTCTCTTGCCTCCGATTTCGGACTAATCTCCGCATAGGATTCTACCAACCATGTGTGTTTCGATGCATCCAAAACTTCTCTCCTCTCAGTCTCTCTTAAACGTGTCTCCTTTTCTCATCAATTGATTTTTAATTCTCTACGCCTTTGTTCCACAAAGTCTCTTCCTCCTGGGTTTATGCGTAAGTTCTTCTCTCTGTCGGTCCCCTTTTATCTCTAAACTTGTCTCTCGCGCTGCGCGCGAAGTTGGTTTTCTACTCCGCGCAAGGCGTTTCTTTACACCCAATCACCTTTTATACAAGTTCAAATCCACCCGATACCTGAATACTGCGGTCACATATGGTGTGGGGTTTCGTCTTCCGCTCCTTCTCCCCCCGGCGGTGCTCAACGTAAAGCCATCCGGCTGATCGACGAACCGTTTTTAACTTCCACCTTGCAGTTGCTTTCCCATCGCCGGGCAGTTGCTTCGTTATCTCTTTTCTATCGTTACTATTTTGGTTTCTGCTCTTCCGAACTCGCTTCAGCGGTTCCCCTTCCATTAACCTTCTCTCGTCTATCTCGTTCTCATGCGACCAGTCACCCTTATCAGGTTTCTGTTCCCAGATGTCGGACTTCTATCTTTC